CATCAACGGCTTCTCTATGGGACTCTTATGGGAGACGGTGCCAAAAGCCTTACTGAAGTCTAGGTAGACAATAGCCACTACTGTCCCGTCATCTACCACGCCAGATCACTGTTCAGTTATTAGGTTCTTCATCTATGCCAGAAATCTTTTACATTTGACTTCCAGGCAAGGTGATGTCTAAGTCAAAGTTTATCTTAGTTTTTTTCAAGGAATTGAATACCTGTCAGAGTAATTGCTGCAAGAATCCTGTTTCAGCTGTGTTAGTCACTGTTAGTCAAAGTGCTTTTTGCTCAGGATGCAGTGTCATGATGGAACTAAGCTAACTGATGTAAAATTTATCATGAAGCCAAGCTAGCTGCCCATGGAAGTTGTAGTCCTTTTCCCCTATGTACCACCAGTGTTCACTCAGAGGCCTACTCCTGTCCATTGTCGAGCCATTTCAGGAAGCTAACCATGCATATTAATCACTCACAAAATAAGTGAATGTGTTTCTACTTATTTGGCTTCCTAAAACATTTCCCCCTGGAGGCTTTATACACACCAGTGCTGGTGAAAGGAGCAGGTGGGAATGCAGGGGCAAAGGAAGGAAGAGCGGAGCAGGGGGTTGCTCTTTCTTGTGAGCTAGGCATTATAGCACTCTAGCTGCAGTGTGAAACTGTCTGCAGACTCCTTCACTCTGTCAGTACAGTAAATAAGTGAGTAGAAATACACCATATGCTAATTAAAAAATAGTCTACTGTGGGATTTAGCTACCTGCCAGCACCAATTCTAAAAATTCATGCCATAGATTACTTTAGTAGATCTACTATTTTAGTTGCTGGGTTTTTAATACATTTTAACACAATCTTGCTATGACTGGTCATCCTTTTATTGAGTATTTTGATTGCTTAATTACTTTGGGTGTATGTACCAATTGCTATATTTCAAGTTTATGGAATATTTAAATTCTTTCTCTCGATATGTCCAGCCTGTATGATCTCATCATAAAATACCACCTGTTCTATCTCAACCTTTGCTAGTTTTTTTGATAGACTGCAGGCATCCTAGCTTTATCAGTCACCTGTTTGTCAGTCATGCTCTCTAATGTCCCGTAACTTCAGTTTTACCACAAGTGCTAACTTTCTATTTTTTTATGCCACTGGAACATTGCTTTAACCTATGTGAATCAGCCTCCGGCAGCACAGTATTGTTTACTGTGTGTTACAGATGAAAGTTCAAGAAAAACATTATCTTATTCTGTGGTTTGAGTTGATATTCTGTACTGCTGTCTGTGTTGCTACAGTTTCTGTGTTTTCAGAGTATTGCAGCTCTGGAAGGGACTGTGAGGGGTTGTCTTGCACAGGAGAAACCCTTTACTTAATGATACTCTTCAGTAATATATATATTATATATTAGGTGTTTATTTAAAGACTTCCAGTGACAAAGACTGCTTAGGCCACTCTATCATTTATCAGCAGTCCTGGATAACAGGGGAGGTCCCAGATGACTGGAGGTTGGCAAATGTGACACCTATCTTCAAGAAGGGCCGGAAGGAGGATCCGGGGAACTACAGACCAGTCAGCCTGACCTCAGTACCGGGGAAGATGATGGAGAGGTTCATCTTGAGTGTGCTCACCAGGCACATGGAGGACGATCAGGAGATCAGGCCCAGTCAGCATGGGTTCATGAAAGGCAGGTCTTGCCTAACCAACCTGATTTCCTTCT